ATATTCAGCTAATGCACACTTTTGCAGTCTTCTGCAAATATAAAATCACAAGTCTGTTCTGTAACTCATGTCATACTTTTGGTCTGACCCACTATTCTTGATTCTGCACCAAGGAGCATGCTGTTGCATGAATTTATAACACCCATGCAAAAACCCATGTGCATAAAGCTTGTTCGATAACTTGATAATCATGACATTCCAATAGGTGAACGACATATGCCTTTAATTAAACAAGTTAAACTTTCTTCTTAACGAGAAAATTACCGATACCGACTAACCGTCTATGAAAATGATTAATTAATGTAAAATTAGTAAAGTGTCAAAAATCCTCAAAATTTCAATTTTAAACCATTCTTGATTGATTAAATACAATGTTGTGAAGTTAAATTGGAGCATTCAAATATCATCTCAGAAACAAAGTCGTTCTGAATACCACAAATTCAGCCTGGGGTATCCCGAGAGTGCCTTTTGTGTCACTGTTTTGCACAGGCGTGCTTGTTTCTGTCGCCATGTTGGGATATAAGCAGTCTCGCGCAATACGAGACTTGATTTTTCATCGAAATGCCTCGGAATTTTTCATCTGTTGTTAAAAGACATCAGATGTGTTCCGAATAAGGAGAAAAAATATGGCGATGTTGAAGGTAATATTGTGGTGTAATAATAAAATAGACATTTTTTCATTTGATTTCGCAAGGAGGATTTTTTTAATGTAGCTATCACACCGATGGTATTCCTTTGTATATTTATGTGTGATATCTATGAAAATTTTGTCTTTGTTTTTGCCTTGTATAAAGAATAAAGATTGTAAACAAACAATTACAAAATAAGAGAAATCATAATAGAGCACTGTACTACAACTTTAGAAATAGGATGTGGAGGTATGCGAAAAGGAATGTCATGAATCTTTTAAAATGTCAGAGTGATGACTGAGAAACATCAGGATTTGTTAATTTTACCTTTTGACATTGTTGATTAATTCTGTGATACACAGGTCCAGTACAATCACTAGTTTTAGCTACGTAGGTAGATTTACCTACGTAGCTTTATTTACCTACCTCAGGTAGCTTTATTTAGCTATTTCTATGTAAGTTTTCAAAAATTTTCTTTTTATTAAAAAGAGACAAAAAGTCGCAATTAAATGACTATTGATATTTATACTTGGGAGGCTTAAAAAAACAATCCAAAGCAGAGAAAGTTTATACATTGCTGCGTTTGGACAATTTAGAGCAAAACGTGTAATTCCATTGTTTGGTTAGCTGTCCGTGCGGTGAGGCATGACTGAGTATGATTACTTCACATTGTACTGAATAATTATCGACCTATTATCGTGTTAACCGGAACTGGACTTCTTTGTCATTTCATCCAAGGGGTAACTGTTCTAACTGTCATACATAGCCCCAAAACTTTCAGAACTTTGATTGCAATTGCGCAGAAAAAGACATTTTTCCAAGAGGGATTTTTTTATGAGTTGTTTTCAGATGAGTTAAAAGTTGAAAATGATCACTGCATCTAAATGATATTTTCTACACACTCTGAGAAAAATGCTTTTAAATGGAAATAAACCAATTTGGTAGCTAAGTAAAGCTACCTCGGGTAGGTAAATAAAGCTATGTAGGTAAATTAAGCTACGTAGCTAAATCTAGTGATTGTACCAGACCTGATACATTATCATGATTATGTTGTCTTTGAACATGATATACATTCCCCCACTGGGCTAGTTTAATATTCTTAAAATTTAGGACAGAGTGACTTATAATGTAATGTTTATCTTTGATGACATTCAGCTTGATGCTTTCACTGGTGAAATTCTTAGTCCAAATATCCACCGATGCTGAATCTCAGCTTAGGTTAATTGGAAGGCTTGGTCTGAACCATTCTACACTATCTACAAAACTAACTTTCATATAATTTTGTTTTACAGCAACAGGGCCAATCACAATTTGAAGAAAGATGGCCTACGATGCGACCCACAGCACTCAAGTTGCTACGTCAAGAGCCAGTTACAAAAGCAGAGTGGCAAGATCTGTTCTGGTACATTATAATACTAAACTGTACAATTATAATATTTTCAATAAGTCAACTTTCAATGAACAATGATGAAATGGCTCTCCAAGACTTAATGATACATGTACACTATATATATACATTAAGGAAAACATTATCAAATGTATAAGTGGTACATATGAAATCCACAATGGAAAAAAAAACCCTCATGAAATATTTCACAGTACAGTATTCATTTTTTGTCATTCATTTTTGTAGAATGATCGAGGAACCATTAAATTGAATTTAAGTGAACTGTGAAATATCTCTAATGTGTCTTATTTATTAGGTTGAACATCAGTTTTGATTGTCACTAGGTTTTATTATTACTTTTTAAAAAAATATTTAATATTGAATAGCTTCAGTGATGATACAAGTATTATAAGTAGTGTCGCTTAATTCTGTTTTGCAGTGCCGTGCATTCTGTCTGCCTTTGGGATGACAAAGGACCCCAGAAAATGTACAAAGCATTACAAGATGATATTCTAGACTTCATCAGACATGCTCAAGCAGTAAGTTCTACTTTACCTGTTTTGCTCTAGCTATTAAGCAGAAAAGATTGTATGTAAGACTACCATATGAAGTAGTAAAAGATACTTTTATGTTGAGATGTCTTATACACATGTAGTAATGTGTAGGTGTTGACCAGCCCTGGAATTGCAAGTGAAAGTTTTGCCAGGGGCTAGTAAGAACTTTAGTTGTGTCTTCAAGGATGAAGATTACTTCAAGAGGGAGGAATGTAATGGTTTGTTTGATGGATATTGGCCTGGATAGCTCAGTTGATAGAGCACCTGACTATTGATGCAGGGTTCCCGGGTTCGATTCCTGGCCCAGCCATACATTTTCTCCTTTCCTGTTACATTTATCCCAATGTATTGGTTTTTAAAAAACCAGATTTTCCCTAACTTTTACAGAGGGTATTACAACATCAAGAGGATTCCTCCTTACTAAAGGCCTACATAGCTGAGTGGGGGAAGTTCTTCACCCAGTGTGACTATCTCCCCAAACCGTTCATGCAGCTGGTGACCTCACTAGCAGGGAAACCCCACGGAAGTGTCCAGCAGAAAAAGACCCAGGGAGAAGAGAGTCTTGTCAGAAAGGTGAACAGAAGTTTAAATACGTTTTATTAGTAGTTAGTTGAAATAAAATTGTCTTTTATATGCGTCACTGATGTCCATGTTTTCATTGCTCATTCAAGCAAAGTCTGTCAACTACACTATGGACATACATGTACATGTAAGAGAGTTGTTCAAGCAAGCACATGCAATAAAGAGACACAGTTGTATATAAGTAATATATACATGTAGTGCACATCTACAACCATGCATCCTTGTTACATGTACTTGTTTGTACAACTTAGTTGCAGGAATATTTTGTGAATTTCCTTGAAACCTTTTTCATCAGTGATGCAGAAAAATGAAAGTAATATAGAACATGTATTTCTATCTTGAAGAATTTTAAAAGAAAATACAAGCAGAGGTTTCAGTGTCTAAACAGATTTTCTTTTTAATTTTCATATGCATTGCAAAGGCTTAAGCATGTATAAGCAGCAAAAACTGTTTAAAATGGAATAATATGGCAATGGCTCAATACTGTGGCAATATTGTGCATTAATGGGGTTACTTTTGAACATTGATATAGCTATATTGTACATTGATGTGGTTGTATTTCCATTGCTTTGCCTATACTGTACATAAATATAGCTATATTCTTATTAATTAAAGCTGATGTTGGACAGCTGGAATGAGAGCATCTTCTCTAACATAAAGCAACGACTACAGGACAGTGCCATGAAACTTATTTATGCAGAAAGAAATGGAGAAGCATTTGATTCTCAGCTTGTTATAGGAGTCAGAGAATCTTATGGTGAGAAAATAAGCTATATTTTAACGATACTCAATATATTTCAGCAGCAAGAGAAAGGGTATGCAAGTAACCCATTTAGTTTTTTTACTAGACTTAAAGGGAGGGACTTTTTATGGTTAAGGCAATAGATAAACCTCCAATCTGGGCTATTACAATTTGAATGATTTTTTACAAGGACATTTGAAACAGAGAACTGATTGAACATTAAGTCTTCAAGCACAGAATAGTTTCCAAGATATTTTACCTTTTAGCTCACCTGAGCCGAAGGCTCAAATGAGCTTTTCTGATCACATTTTGTCCGTCGTCCGTCCGTCCGTCTGTAAACTTTTCACATTTTTGACTTCTTCTCAAGAACCACTAGGCCAATTTTGACCAAACTTGGTACAAAGCATCCTTGGATGAAGGGGAATTTAAATTGTTAAAATAAAGGGCCAAGTCCCCTCAAAAGGGGAGATAATCAAGAAAAGACAAAAATAGGGTGGGTCATTAAAAAATCTTCTTCTCAAGAACCACTGGGCCAGAAAAGCTGAAACTTATATGGAAGCATCCTGGGGTAGTGTAGGTTCTAAATTGTAAAAATCATGACCCCCAGGGGAAGGGCGGGGCCACAATTGGGAATCAAAGTTTTACATAGAAATATATAGCAAAAATCTTTGAAAATCTTCTTCTCAAGAACCACTGGGCCAGAAAAACTGAAATTTATGTGCACATGGAAGGATCCTGGGGTAGTGTAGATTTCAAAATGTCTAAATTATGATCAGTGGGGTAGGGTGGGGATGCATTATGTATTACAAGGGGGAAATCTGGTAAAGAACAGAATGGTCAAAGCTTCTCAGGTAAGCGATGTGGCCCATGGGCCTCTTGTTTCTTCATTGCTTGATTTATGATATGAATATTATAATCTAAAGTATTAGCAGATTAGTTAATGTAATGCTGAAAGCAACCATACGATGCAAAAGAATCTTAAGGGAAAAAAATCCAATATTAAAAAAAATATTTTATAATACAGTTT